TGTGTGTGTGTGTGTGTGTGTGTGTGTGTGTGTGTGTGTGTGTTGGCATCAATTGCTGACTATGTGTGCGTGCAGGTGTGTGTTTCCTTTGAACCACCTCTCCTTGCCTCCTCCCTGAATCGTGTGAATATAGATAGGTGTTATGAACCTGGTTGCTTGTTGACTGAAGTCCAACACTCGCTCTAGCAGCGTATCGGAATGAATTTTAGACTTCAGTCAACAAGCAACCAGGTTCATAACATGGGATGACATGACGGTCAAGTAGTGCCCCAGAGGAGACTAAGGTGGGCACAAAGACAAGGAATTGCAGCTTTAGACCTCCACCCACCATCCTCCATGCCTGTAGGAATACATCCCGCCTACCATCCTCCCCACTTCCCTCCTCCCAACCTTCTCCACTCCCTACCCTCTCCGCCCACCGCAAGGCGTATAGACCTATATTCCCGCCTCCCTACCTTCGTTGCATTTTTTACTGATTGATTAAAAACCAATCAATCAGTTTGTTTGTTAATTAATCAATCAATCTGTTAATAATAATTGATTCCTTGGACTTATTGATAGGACGACCAAGGCAACAGTTGCTTTATAGGAATATATGCCAGTTTTCTCAACAAATGAGTTTTTGTCTAACTGTTGAAAAAAATCGGAAGTCATTCAAAAGAATGTTGAAAAAAAATGTCTGCCGTTTTTTTTACAGCATTTGATTTCATCTTGCAATCCTTAAGGATTGTCTTCTTTGCCTTCGCCGCATTTTTTATTGATTGATTAAAAACCACTCAATTGGTCAGTTTGTTAATCAACAATTAATCAATCAATCAATCAATCAATCAATCAATCAATTAATCAATCAATCAATCAATCACTCAACTTTTTGTGAATCAGACCTCAAATTTGAGTTTCAGGGTCAAGGGTCGGGTCGGTCAGTTTCGAAAAATCACAGTCGAGTCTCCCTTGGGTCAGATACGAACAGGTACCCCAGTTGACAGTCACATCCCAAGGAACATTCACATCCCATATTGAAAGGACGTGGTCATAGGCAAATGACACTTTCCCAAGCAGAAGTCATACCCCAAAGGCAGGAGCCGCATCCCCAAGTCAAAAGTCATATTCGAGATGTGAAAAGTCGTGACTCCTAGTCCCAAGCAGCAACATACCTGTGGAAATCCGGTAAAGTACCGGTCCTTAACATTCAGAGGTTAACAAGACGTGAGCATGTGGTACGGGGCCGAATTGGGACATTTGCTGCAGAAGCTGGTACAACCCATTGACGTCCGAAAGCAATATAAGGACTGGATGGCCTCCCATTTGAACAGATTGCTCATTCGCAGCAAGCGTGGAAAAGTTGGACACTTGCGGGCCGAAGTGAGGAGCAGAGAGCTAGGGCAAGAGTGCGCGCTAAGAGAGAGGGGGATAGAGTGAGAGGAAGAGCAACGCTGACAGGGTAGAAGGCAACCATAGCTGCATCAGTGCAGGGTGTATAGTACTGGTTAGATGGAAAGATTATAGGCTTAGGAGTGGGTGTATTCAGAGTAGATTCTTGAGCAGAAGTGAGGGTGCATGCACGTAGGGAAAAAGAACACAGATAGGACATAGCCGAAGAGAAGACAGAGAGGGGGCAAAGGAGAGAGAGAAGAATTGGTGAGGACGTACCTGGAAGGTGGCGCTGGTTACTGGTTACCTGTGTGTGCGCAGACGAGCGCTGGTAACATGAACTCTTAATTTGTTGTGGACCTCCATCTACCATCCTCCCCGCCTGTAGGAATACATCCCGCCTACCATCCTTCCCGCTTCCCTCCTCCCGACCTTCTCCATTCCCTCCCCNCCTCTCCCCCCCCCCTTCCCCGAAGGCATGTAGGCCTATATTCCCGCCTCCCTACCTTCGTCACATTTTTTATTGATTGATTAAAAACCAATCAACCAGTCAATTTGTTAATTAATCAATCAATTTGTTAATAATAATTGATTCCTTGGTCTTGTTGATCGGACGACGAAAACAACAGTTGCTTTATAGGACTATGTTCCAGTTTTCTCAACAAATGGGTTTTTGTCTAACTGTTTAAAAGATTATGAAGTCCTTTAGAAGAATATTGAAAAAATCGTCTGCCGTTTATTTCAGCTTTTGATTTCATCTTGCAATCCTTAATGATTGTCTTTTTTTTCCTTCGTCGCATTTTTCATTGACTGATTAAAAACCACTCAATTAGTCAGTTTGTTAATCAATCAATCAATCTTTTAATAATAATTGATTCCTCGATGTTGTTGATTGAACGACCAAGGCATACGTTGCTATGTAGGACTTTATGCCAGTTTTCTCAACAATCATATTTTTGTCTAACTGTTGAAAAAATATCGAAGTCCTTTAAAAGAATTTGTTTTTTTTCTTTTTCGTTTTTTTTAACCCTGCTTCATTTTTGCATGCCAAAGAAGGGGCCGACCACCCCACATAAAGACCAGATCTGGGAGCAGTACCCAGTGCTATGCTTTAGACAGGACCCAAGCGAGACCCGAAGAGTTCTCACCTTAAACCCTAAGCCCTAACACTGTGTCCGTACTCTCTAACTTCTCTACCTCCCATATTCTTGAGGACCCCGGGTCGGGTGTTCAGACGTTCTGGACATGTGAGTCGAGTCAGAGTCTGACGAGTCAGGTCATATCCTTGAGTCTTCCGCTGTGCTACATTGCATTGTATTGTTTCTTTCCTGGATGCACATTGCTTATGTGCTGATCATATTGTTTGTCCTAAGTCTCACTCTTCACATTATCACACAAGGACAGGACCCTGGGCTAATGGGCAAAAAAAGGTCCAGTCCTAATTCGGACGGGTCAAAAAGAAAAAGAAAAAGGGGGTGTGGAGACACTAGTCCGCAGCAACAGATATCTGGCACGTGGCACAGGGCGAAGAGGTTCTCCCCTTTTCTCAACAGCCTGTGTAGTTAATCCTGTGGACAGCAGAGTAATCAATATTGGCAGGTGTTTCTCAGACATCTTTCCCAATATCCTCCTGATTCATTTTGTACATCGGACGGTGGCCCCGTTTTCCAGCAGGTGATGCTCCCCACCAAAAGATGGAGCCTGTCCCCAGATGCTAGTGGTGTCTGCTTTTACCAACGCCACTAGCACTGCAGGGGGCTTTTTTTAGTTGTAGAATAAGGGCTGGCATAGGACCTCCAATGTGGTGTGCCCTCCTCCCTCCCTCCCTCTCTCTCTCTCTCTCTCTTTCTCTCTTTCGCTCTCTCTCTCTCCCTCTCCCTCTCTCTCTCTCTCTCTTAAAGTCCTTTAACAAGATCTTCCTTCGACCGCGGTTTCCTCCACACCATCCTCCCACCACCCTAAGTCATATAGTCCTATATTCCCGCCTTCGTACCTTTATCGCATTTTTTATTGATTGATTAAAAACCAATCAACTAGTGAGGTCGTTAATCAATCAATCCATCGGAGGAAACCGAGGCAAAAGTTGCTTTGCAGGAAACCAGTGATAATAAATATATGTCAGTTTTATCAGCCGAATCTTCGTTTGATTGGTTTCTCAAAGCAGGTCAGCCAAATCTTTAATACTTTGTTTCTTTACTTGTTTGATTGTTTGTTACGCTTGATCACTCAGTTGTTTTGATCTTCCCCATTTCCCACCCGCCACCCCCACAGGCATCCAGTCCCTTTTCTTCCTCGATTTCACTTTCTTCCCAACTCCACCCTCCCAAAGGCATATAGTCATATATCCTCGCCTCCGTGCTCCTGACCTTCAAGTTGGTCATCCTTCTTCCTCGACTCTGCCTTCTTTCCAACTCCACCCTTGTTTCGTTGAGCTGCCATCCACGCAGGATCGTCCAATTTGAAGAACAGAGGGGCAAAGTTGAATCTGGGCGGGTCCGAGTCTTTGGGCAGAAGCAAATCATGCAGTAGTGTCGGTGACCTAAGATTAAACATCCAAGAAGAGGGGACACCAACTGAGATGGATGTGGAGGATGCATTCGACAAGGAAGGTGAAGAAGAGGCAAAGGTCGAAGAGGAGACGAGCAGAAAGGAAAACGACAAAGATGGGGAGGAAGAGGAGAACCTGACTCGAATAGAAGACGAAGAGGACGACGAAGACGAAGAGGCGGAAGAAGAGGAAGACGAGGAAGAACGGGAGGACATGAAAGAGGTTGGAGAGCGGGAATCGAATGAAGAAAATGCAGACAGAACACGAAAGCAGAACACCAATGACAAATGGGTAAACGAGGTTCTCATAAACACGAAATTGCGGAAGGACCTTCTTCCATTCTTGTGCGCCATATGCCTCATAGCTGCTGGAGTGAAGTTGCACATCCAGTCGGACAACAAACTGCACTACAAATGTTACGGCGATATCATTTGTGTGAATTGGGTTTTTGACAAAAAAAAATACTTCGCCGAATTGTGGGTTGTCATGAGCGACAAGCTTCTAAGCTTCCTCCTCTCTTCAAAGAAAATGGTGCCCGACAAATTTCGAATTGAGAACAAGAAGCTGGCTGCAGCAAGCAAAAAAAGCTTCAGGGTGCGTATCCTCAATGCCCATTTTCCCACCCCCCCCCTTTTTTTTCTCTCTCTCTCTCTCTCTCTCTCTCTCTCTCTCTCTCTCTCTCATTCGAGCTGCAGCCTCTGAATGATTATAGTCCTGTAATCATTCCCGCTGTCCGAGCTGCAACCTAAAAATGATTATAATCCTAAACTTTTTCCCGTTGTCGTCTTACAGTCCGCTCTGCAGTCTTTGTCTGCGGCATCAGAACGATTATAGTCCTACAGTGGTGAAAGTCTCAGTTGTCTTACTCTGGTAATCATTCCCGCTCTTCAATCTACAAACTCTAAATGACTGTGGTCCTATAATCATTCCCGCTGTTCAAGCTGCAGCCTTTGAATGATCAAAGTCCCGCTGTTTAATCTGCAGCCTTAGTCTTGTTGTTGGAGTCGTACCGTGGCAGTGGACGTGTCGCAGTTGCTATAGTCCTATAATCATTCTCGTTGTTCGAGTTGCAACCTCTAAACGATTATAGTCTTATAATACCTGAGGCGGGTGGTCCCACTGTACTGTTTCTGCTCAGTCTTGCTGTTGGAGTGCTCGTCTGACAGTTTCGAAAGTCTGAGTTGATGTACTCCTATAATCATTCCCGCTGTTCAATCTCCAGCCTGATAATAAGTATAGTCTTATAATCATTCCCGTTGTTCGCTACAACAACGTCGGAAAGATTATAGTCCTATAATCGTTCTCGCTATTTTAGCTGCAGCCTCTGAATAATTGTAGTCTCAAAATCGTTCCCGTTGTCCGAGCTGCAACCTTGGAACGATTATAGTCCAATAATCAGTGAGGCAGGTGGTCTGACAATACTGTTTCTGCTCAGTATTGTTGTTGGAGTCGTACAGTGGCAGTGACGAGCGTCGCAGTTGTTATAGTCTTATAATCATTCCCGTTGTTCGAGCTGCAACCTTTAAACGATTATAGTCCTATAATCACTGAGGTGGGTGATCCCACAGTACTGTCACTGCTCAATCTTGTTGTTGGAGTCCTACCGTGGAAGTGGCGAGCGTCTCAGTTGTTATAGTCCTACAATCGTTCCCGCTGTTCGCGCTTGAACCTCTAAAGGATTATAGTCCTACAAAACCTGAGGCAGGTGGCCCCACAATACTATTTTTGCTCAGTCTTGATGTTGGAGTCCTAGTCTAACAGTGGTGAAAGTCTGAGTTGTACTCCTAAACTCATTCCTGTTGTTCAATCTGCAACCTCTGAATGATTATCGTCCTATAATCATTCCTGTTGTTCGCTAGAACAACGTCTGAAAGATTATAGTCCTATTATCGTTCTCGCTGTTCTAGCTGCAGCCTTTCAATAATTATAGTCCCAGAATCGTTCCCGCTGTTCGAGCTGCAGCCTCTGAAGGATTGTAGTCCAATAATCAGTGACGCGGGTGGTCCGACGGTACTGTTTTTGCTCAGTCTTGTTGTTGGAGTCGTACCGTGGCAGTGACGAGCGTCACAAGTGTTATAGTCCCATAATCACTCTTGCTGTTCGAGCTGCAACCTCTAAACGATTATAGTCCTATAATCACTGAGGCGGGTGATCCCACAGTACTATCACTGCTCAATCTTGTTGTTGGAGTCGTACCGTGGCAGTGGCGAGCGTCGCAGTTGTTATAGTCCTACAATCGTTCCTGCTGTTCAAGCTACAACCTCTAAACGATTATAGTCCTACAAAACCTAAAGGGGGTGGTCCCACAATACTATTTTTGTTCAGTCTTGTTGTTGGAGTCCTAGTCTGACAGTGGCGATGTCGGTGCGAATACCCTTAATAGGGTATCCGCCCTGGTTTTTGCAAGCGACAGAATTGAAGTTTGGTTTAAAGTTTAGGTATACCATGCTAGGAACGACTGCGTCTGTAATTTACATTGACTGGATGGTTGGTTAGAGTAGAGAGTGTGTGGGCGCGCGAATTTTTGAGGCGCGCGTGGTCATTTTAATTACTCATGATTAAAGAGCCGGCGCGATCGCCAGTCAGATGTCTATTATTTTTATTTTTTTTTAATTTTTTTATTTTGAACTAAGTTTAAAAAAAAATTGTCCTTCGGTTGGGGCATCTGCCCGTAACTAGGCGTACGTGCGGAGGGCGGCATCGACGACAGTGCGACTTCTGAAGGCGTGTTGGTAGGTCGACGCGTCGCGCAGTGTCCGTTTTATTTTAGGCGTCCGCCAGAGCTAGACCCGGACTTGGGCCTAGCATTATTGGTTACGACATCGGACTTCTATCTGCGAGATTCGGTGATCGAGGTCGAGCGACGACGACGTGAGGATATCAGGGCGGCGCGAGGAGGCCGAGGGGTTGAGGGCCCGACGGGGCTATTCCCCTTTATTTTGCCATCGGCGGCGTTGGGACGGTGCTATTATTTTCCTGTTCCCCGTTCGTCGCATTGTGACGCCTGGGATTTTCCTAAGTATTTTATTATTTACTGCTGTTAATAGATTAGCTCCTTGTCGTCGCGGTAGCCGAGGACCTTGAGCACGCGCATTGGCTGGCAAGCCGTGTGGAGTCCGCGTGTTCGGAATGCTGTCAACATTTTTTTTAACTTGAAGTGTGGACTAAGGAGTTCGACGCGCATGCGAGCCAGCGGGTGATTAGTCCACGAGACGGAAGGAACCTGAGTAAAAGGCACCCCCTGCCGAGGCATCGCTTGCCAACCACAACCTGCCGTGTGAGGTTTGGGTGTGAATATGCCCGCGGGACTCCCCTCCATTTTGGGATTCAAGGTTCCCAATGAAGTATTTGCGCCTACCGGTGAGACGCGCACAGGGCCCTGCTTCACCAAGGCGCGTGTTGTAGGCCCGCATTGAGCCTGTGTCTTTGATCCCACAACCTGCAGTTTCTGTGGGAGCGTGTCCTTTCGGGCCCAAGGGAGGAAAGTTGTGCCTGGGCGAGGCGGGTCGGCAGCACTGTGATGGAGGCCGTCGGGGAAACCTATAGGTGAGTCCTTCGGGACACCTGTTAAAATAGGAATGGTACGAAGGGGATCAGCACGGCCCTGCACGGGCGCGATACGTATAAAAAGGGAAAGAGGCACGGGGTCGGTTTTGACTCACTCGTTTTTCTCCCTTCCTTTCGCCACCGGCCGGAGCCGTCGCCACGGGCCAGCCGCTGGCGGAGTACTGCGTTGGCGGAGATAGCAAAGTGAGAGGTGAACCCGGACGTGAAGTCGTACCAAGTGCGCGAAAGAAGTGAAGGAGGGATGGACTGGGATGGGGTATCGTCCTAGATGCATGCGGGGAAGGTGAGTGAGCCAGGGCGGATATAGGAACGGATCCGGAGCGGAGGAGGAGGCTGGCGAGCGGGGCAAGCGGGAGGAACGACGGGTGCGGCAGTGACAGGGCAAGTGAAAATGGGGGAACGAACCTGGATGCGGGCCTGCACCAGGTGCATTCGGAGGTAGAGTTAGAGATGGCGATGGTGGGCGGGGGGGGGGGGGGGGTAAAAACGTGTGCCCCGCCCATCTCTTAGTGAAATTGAACGGGAAAAGGGAGGGGACATAGATTCTTGGGTGGGACGACCACGATGGTGAAGTCCAAAGGAGGAGTAAGAGAGTGGGCAAGGAGTTAGTAAGAGGAAGGGCTCCGCTGAGATATGGCGGGAAGGTAAGTAAGGTGAGGGGGTAGGTTGGGATACCGCTCGATTCGTAGTGGAATCGAGTATGGTAGAGCTCGGGATAGAGTATTTTGGTTAGGGCGAATCCGATGGCGGTGTTAGTTTGATGATTGGGTTAGTAGAATGGGAGGGTAGCAAGAAACGGGGTGTGCCGGGATATGGCGATGGGAAAAAAAAGTAAGGAGTGAAGAATCGAGATTTCACTCGATTCTCGATGGAATCGAGTGAAAGAAGATGGTAGATTGGCTTTTCTGGGCGGGGCGAACCTAGATCTGATGTTAGTTTTAGAGCAGAGTCAGTAGAAGAGGAGATAAAAAAGAAGTGGGCAGCGCGAAGAAGGCTATGCCGAACGGGATAAATAACGAAAGCTCACTCGATTCCTTATGAAATCGAGTGGATGAAGGGGCAAGGATGAGGTTTTGGAGTAGTGCGACTTAGTTAGTAGAGTTAGATTTAGGGGAGGGGGGTGTAGATTCTATGGTGTATTGAACGTAGGCTGCGCCCAGAGGAACAACTGATTAGATGTGGGAATGAACCTGGCCGGGTTCAGCGCCAGGTGCATTCGAGATATGAATAAGGGGTGTAAGGGAAAGCATGTATATTCCCGCATTCTAGCGGAAGATTCATTTGCTGTTTGCTTGCCATTTTGACAGGTGTAACGCGGGGCCAGACGCGGGGCAGAAACCGTACCTGTTGCCTGATGAGGTGCTCAGATCGATTGATGGTAGTAGCCTCTCCCAACCTCTCTGCGTGTGTGACAAGTAACAGTGTATCTATCCGGGCTCGGGCGATGGGTTTATTTTGACTTGCTCCTCGTATC